ATGCACAACCCATCCACGGGGCAAGAGCTGCGTGTGCAGTCGGAGATAGAGGGGAAACAGCCCCGAGTGGGTGCAGGCACACGACGGACCTGCTCGTCTCCAGCTGAATGAGGCCAGAGCTGCAGCAGAAGAGAGGGAGAGGAGCAGGAGCAGAGCTGAATTACTCCATTATATTGCATCAAGAGAAGCATCTCTCTGTCTGAGAGCAGCGAGTACAAGCAGTGCTATTCTGCACTCTCTGCAACTGCTGTACTTTATCTCCTGCACCGCTGACACCTGGAGAAACCCGAAACACACCTCCCCACACTTGCAAGGTTCCTCCCACCACTATTGCATTTATTTACAAAAAGAGGACCAAAGCAAAACCAGCATCAGGGAGCAAGTGTCCAAGTCAAACCCAAGCCAAGCAGGAAAAGCAAATCCTGTCTTGGCGTCCCCTCTGGGGAGCAAATAATGAGCCGTCCCCAAGAGCCATCCGTGGACTGAGTGACCTCCCCAGCGCTGCACGGTGTCCCCAGCCACCGGAGCAGCGAGGCGGCGAGAGGCTCCAGACCAGCTGGTACACTCAGCACTTTCCAGCAGCTTTTATGTACAGAGCCGAGTTCATTAAACCGCTGGCCTGTGTGTTATTGCCAAGGCTACGGCACAGTCCCTGCGCAATCCCCAGCTCCCCTGACAGCTCGCCTCCAGCTCCTGCTCAGCCCTGGCCAGCCCCAGCGAGAGGCTTTTCCCGGAGCACGAACCCGGAGCACGGTCACCACACTGCTCGAGTGGGGACGAGCACTGCAGCAGCACAGGCGTGAGCAGGGTGCTCTGCAGCAAAACCACTCATCACCAAGCTGCGGGGGCTCCGGGGGCAAGGCTGAACCCTCCGCACCCTGGATGCTGCTCCGAAGAGGAGTGAGAAGGAAAATTAAGGATGAGGCCAGCGCCTTAAATAAGTACCTTACATTGCAAAGTGGGCATCTGCGTTATTTCAGGGCCTGCCTCCTTTCTCATACAATGTACACCCTTAAAAAAAACCAACACACACACCAGCGCGTAATACAAGCAACAGCTGATGTTACAGAGGATGACCTGCCCCCTCCCTCATTTCAATGCTAAGGTTTGTGGGTGAAGCGTGGAGTCACTGTTAGAGCAATCAGAGCTTCGATAGTTTTGCAAGCCTCCGCTCCCCTTCCCCCCACGTGTCCTCAAAGAGCACAACTCACTATTTTTGAAGTTACTGCTCAGGATGTGGGAAGGGAGAGAGCGACGTGGGTTGTTTTTCAGGCTGCGCCTGCCTCCCTGCACCGTCCCCCCCAGGTGCCAGCGCTGCCGCGGCCCCGCTGGAGCACGAGCCGCTCACCAGAGACGGGCGAGATGGAGCCACGCTGGCTGCATGGCCTTGGGGACACCTGGGATCTTCCCTCTACCTGAGCAGACCTTTCAAGCTGGATGAGCCTTCTGCAAGAGCACTGGGGATGGTGCCAGCG